AACGCGCAGCGTTATATCCATGAAGTTCTAGAACCCCATCTTTTACCCTATCTTGACACCCTGGCAGATCCAACTTTCCAACAAGATAATGCCCGACCACATGTTGCAAGAGTCACAATAGACTTCTTTCAACATAATGATGTCACATTGTTACCATGGCCACCAAGATCTCCCGACTTATCCCCAATTGAGCACGTGTGGGATATGATGGGTAGGAGATTGCTCAATTTGCAACGTCCTCCTCAGACTCTAGAAGCACTTCGAGAGGAGCTGGTGGTTGCCTGGAATGAGATACCACAGGAGGACATTGACCACGTGATCAGAAGCATGCCTAGGCGCGTTGGAGAATGCGTAGCACATCAGGGTGCATCCACACATTATTAAAGGTCAGAGGGCTTTAAAGCAGTGCAATCATTTTGAAATTTTTATCATTTACTTATTATGCTTCATTAAGTACTTATACAAAATTTTATTAAAATAAAACCATTTAGACTGGGTGTTCGGATTTATATGTCACTTAGTATATCACAAGTGCATAAAAGATTGGAGTATCATCGAAATCTCATCACACGTGATGTTATGTATTAATTTTTTTCTAAGGAGGCCACGATTTATTTGTCAGAAAATAAAATTAGTAAGTAACGCACATGTTTATCTAAGGAGGCTCTAACTTTGACGTTAAATAATTCAAAGTATAAAAATTGTGTTTTAATAATTAGCGGGTTCGTTTTCTCTTATTAAAATCATAAAACTAACAAAAAAATGGTTAAACCCTATTGAAAATAGGCGGTATTCCCTACTCAAATGAAGAAAAGTTTGACGGCAGCAGCCTCGGAAAACCCAATTTAGAAAACCAGTAGTTAATTTAACAAGCCTTCGAGGCCTTCGAGGCCTTCGAACAACCTAGAAGCGGATACAATATTGAAAATGAAAATCGCGACAGAAACATTTTTCAAGCTGTCATCGAAATCGCTAGTGCATCAGTAAGAACTGTAGAACGAGTAATTGCGAATGCATGTGAGAGGTATACTCGACCTAGGAAGTCCAATGAAAATCCCGATTTTGTAAATCATGTCTTGTGGTCCGACGAGAGTAGGTTTACGAATTGGGAAGTTTTTAACAAGTTGACTGTTAAGGCGGGCGCGGACGACCGCTGAATATTTTTTCTATTTTGCCAGGCTGGTCGTATACGGCCGCTATCATACGGCACTACGTTTATATTCTCTGCGTACCTGCAGTCGAACTGAAGATCAGTATAAGTAAGTAATTCGACCGCTGTGGCATACAGGTCTAGGATGTTGATACGATTTTCTGGATATCTGTTTGGTTCAATCAAACATTTCCTGGTATGTGATATACACTTTTATTGTCGGCACCCAAAACATACTACAAAATGCAACGGACACAGGACAAATTAAAAAGAGATTCACTTATAAAAACAAACTAAAGGTAAAAAATGGAGAAAATAAAGGTTCCTTTACACTTCGCAGAATTTAGACAAAAATGTGGATGATCCTCACACACTCCTAAATCTTTTACTACTTTCTTAAAGCGGTATTTGAAATTTCATCATGTATACTAAGCGACATATAAATCCGAACACCCAGTTTAAATGGTTTTATTTTAATAAAATTTTGCATAAGTACTTAATGAAGCATAATAAGTAAATGATAAAAATTTCAAAATGATTGCACTGCTTTAAAGCCCTTTGACCTTTAATAATGTGTGGATGCACCCTGATGTGCTACGCATTCTCCTACGCGCCTAGGCATGCTTCTGATCAGGTGGTCAATGTCCTCCTGTGGCATCTCATTCCAGGCAACCACCAACTCCTCTCGAAGTGCTTCTAGAGTCTGAGGAGGACGTTGCAAATTGAGCAATCTCCTACCCATCATATCCCACACGTGCTCAATTGGTGATAAGTCGGGAGATCTTGGTGGCCATGGTAACAATGTGACATCACTATGTTGAAAGAAGTCTATTGTGACTCTTGCAACATGTGGTCGGGCATTATCTTGTTGGAAAGTTTATCTGCCAGGGTGTCAAGATAGGGTAAAAGATGGGGTTCTAGAACATCGTGGATATAACGCTGCGCGTTCATGTCACCTCTGATGAAGATTAAAGTGGACCTGGAACCATAAGCTATAGCACCCCAAACCATAACTCCAACAGTGTGATGAACATGTCTTTCAACAAAAAACTGTGGATTCCTCCTTTCACCACGTCGCCTTCTAACCCTGGCACGACCATCGTGAATGCCTAAACAAAATCGAGACTCGTCACTAAAGACAATACTGTTCCATTCCTGATCCCAGAGTGACCGTTGTCTGCACCACTCAAGGCGATTACATCGGTGTAAGGGTTAGAAGGCGACGTGGTGAAAGGAGGAATCCACAGTTTTTTGTTGAAAGACATGTTCATCACACTGTTAGAGTTATGGTTTGGGGTGCTATAGCGTATGGTTCCAGGTCACCTTTAATCTTCATCAGAGGTAACATGAACGCGCAGCGTTATATCCACGAAGTTCTAGAACCCCATCTTTTACCCTATCTTGACACCCTGGCAGATCCAACTTTCCAACAAGATAATGCCGGACCACATGTTGCAAGAGTCACAATAGACTTCTTTCAACATAATGATGTCACATTGTTACCATGGCCACCAAGATCTCCCGACTTATCCCCAATTGAGCACGTGTGGGATATGATGGGTAGGAGATTGCTCAATTTGCAACGTCCTCCTCAGACTCTAGAAGCACTTCGAGAGGAGTTGGTGGTTGCCTGGAATGAGATACCACAGGAAGACATTGACCACCTGATCAGAAGCATGCCTAGGCGCGTTGGAGAATGCGTAGCACATCAGGGTGCATCCACACATTATTAAAGGTCAAAGGGCTTTAAAGCAGTGCAATCATTTTGAAATTTTTATCATTTACTTATCATGCTTCATTAAGTACTTATACAAAATTTTATTAGAATAAAACCATTTAAAATGGGTGTTCGGATTTATATGTCACTTAGTATATCACAAGTGCATAAAAGATTGGAGTATCATCGAAATCTCATCACACGTGATGTTATGTATTAATTTTTTTCTAAGGAGGCCACGATTTATTTGTCAGAAAATAAAATTAGTAAGTAACGCACATGTTTATCTAAGGAGGCTCTAACTTATAGTATATCAATATACATTTATAAAATGACCGCCTGGCATCTTTGACGATAATAAAGGAATATCAACAATACACAATAATAACAATACTCGGTGACAAGTATTTACGTCAGATCAAGCATTTGTCCGCAACGCTTACTTAAAGAAATAAAAAATCTGAAAAATCGCATAAATGTAATAGATTTTATGATGCATCGTTGAATTCATATAAAAATGCTATTAGTTACAGAATGTATTTTTATCTGGCCATATAAGAAAATAAAGTTGATGATGCTTTCTCAAAAAAACTAACCGTCGGGCACAAAATTTAAAATCACTGTCATGTAGCGCCTAAAAAGTGCCATTGGAAAACTTTCATTAGTTTTTTGATATTCCTTAAATTAAGGTCAGAAGAAAATAAAAATGAATTGGCCAAACTTTAGCTTTTACGAAGTATTTCAGTAAGTCATGAAATTTCAACGGCATGTAAATACGCCCCAAATAAAGCAACTTTGTCCTAATTTAACCTAAACTAATTCCAACTGGTTTTGAGACTCCATGCATAGGACTTTGTATAGTACCGATGAAAGAAAAAACAAATTAACTGGACAAACATCATGGTCGAGTTTCGTCAGACAGACCATGATGGGTATTCTTATGTGTCGATGCTGAATCCGAATTCCATATCAGAATAGTTCCTAGATGTCTAGAATTCACCCCCTGGTAAAAAAATACGACTAATAAGGGGTGGAAACTTGATATTCAGATGTTATTCGCTCAACCGCCTAATACCGTGGTAGTATTGGTTTCGCATGATGATATGGTTAGTTCCTATTTTGGAATAACCATTCAGGGATATATTGATTTCGGGTAGGCTCTGTTCCATGTTGGAGAATATTACGAATATGCATATTTGTGTTGAAGCTTTCTTAGTTTAAGGACGGCACGAATTATACGTTCTGATGTTGCGTAGTCTCTGCCGTTGTTGTACTCGTATAATCCTCTGGAAGAGTCGCTAAGGGTGACGTAATGACAAGGTTATCTGGAAGGCTTGAAGTTGTGGCGACATAGCGTTGAGCAAGATACTATTCGGAGGTGTAAGGGGCTATGACAAAGATGCTTTTTAGGTAGAACATCAGGTTTTCTGAAATAACCCTTACTTGCGGTTTTATGGCATATGCTACCATTGTTGATTTTACTCAATAAGATGCACTAATCTTTTCAAAGTAGATTTTCTAATCAATGCGGAGAGAAGAAACATAGCTGTGACAAGTTCTCATAGATGATGCTACGGTTTCTCATTTCATCTTGAATAATTTTTTGGACGTGGTAATATAGTATTAGGTCGTCTATCTTCAGGTTCAGTAGTGCATATTAGAATTGAGCAAGAGATTACTTTCATTCTTATCACTCTCCCCCTTAGAAAAAAAATATTTTCTTGAAACCTCACTTTGCAGCAAATTGGGTTTTCAAGAAAAGCAAAGAACAAGAAACTGAGGATTGATAAAATAATCAGACGAAAAGTATTAAGAATACTCTCAGACAGACTGTTGAAAGAAATGAACATTCGATGTTAACAAGTTAGAAACCTTTGAGCTATGTCTTTATATTTTGAATAACCCACACCACCAACAACAGTTCAATCATGAGAGCAGATACAGGTAGAGGGATACTTAGCATCGTCAAAATCCGAAGAGTTAATACAGGCACATAATGGAAAAAAACGATCTAGCGCCACTGATTATCCATGGGAAGAATAAGGAAAAACGGGGTACGGGGGTTTCATAGCTGACGAAGACACTAGAGGATTACAATATTACGGCCGAATTTGCCGAAGAAGTGTCACTTACCGCATTTGTGAATGTCTTTCCTCTCAATCCAAGTAAAAAGTGTGTCCGTGTTAAAGGCACCTACAACATGTTATTAAGTTTTGCAGTCATTTGTTATTTGTTCTATTTACCATTCCATTCAGCAAAACATCCTGATCGTCCGTTAAAAAGAACACAAAATTCGGTTTCGAACCCACTGCTACAAACGCGAGAATATTACAGAGAAGAACTATTTTCGGGTCTCTACCTACAGACATTTTGAGCAAATTGTAATAAAAGTATAACCTCACTTTTAAACAAATAGCACTTGTTACTACATAAAGTGATATCCACTGACTGTCTATAAAACAATCATCAAATTAATGCTAATCGACTATCTTTAGAAATAGTCAGGGCAAAGCAGATAAAAACAGTGTGTCACTCCTATACGACTGAATTTCTGACATATTATCTACCTCTCAACCCTCAGTGAATTGCAATGCTACCAGCTTGTACCGGGAAGACTGTTGATGCGATTAAGTCTCTGCTGTTCAGCTGGGGCAGTGACCAGTGGGTTCCTGTTCGACCAGAGAACTGGAAATAATACCTTCCTGGGTCATGATTGCTTGATACTGTTTAACGCTTCTTTAAATATAGCAACGTGCCTTGACTAATAAGAGGCGCTCATGCGCTCGTCCGGTTTGGATAGATGAATGAGCTTCACCAGGAAGCCATTTGGTGCAGTTTGGCGAAGTTCAAATAAAATGAGATATTTGACATACATATGCCTCGTTACTGGCAAGAGCTCAAGGATTAGAATGGGAGTATGCGCTTAGATGTTATAGTAATTTTCTCCATCTAACCTCATTATTTTGTATGAGGCCCAGATAGACGAGTTAAGACTCAGCCTTGAGTGCTGATCATATTTCTGAGGTGCTGCAGGTCCGACCACACCGCAATACTTGTTGCCCTATCAATCTAAGTCACTTAGGTATTATAAATACCCGTTCAACATTTAAGTTTCGCTTTTGCGGCTGACTCAGTATTGAAAAACATCACAGTCAACCTACATCACGTAGGCTGACATCACGTAGATTGACTTCGCTCTTCCCACGCAATGTTGTAATCAGCTTATAATGAATTATGTTAGTCCCTTTGAGAAAGCTACAAACATATATTATTTAAATTATTAAAAAATTAAATGGGCAAAGTCATACAAACTAACCCATATAAAATTAGTACAGACTCCATCCGCTTGATAACGCTTGCGGTGTTTTCTTCCCTACCCTAAGTATTGACCATCTTTCAACGCTGCTAGACCACACGAGTCAAACATGTCCCGCGTCGATAGATATTGGTTATAAGGGCAAATGGACGGGGAAGTATTTGATGAGTGAAACATGTACTGATGAAATTACTGGGGCTGGAATTGGATAAATAAACTCTACCAAAAAAATGGGATATTCCTTTTTCCGGCCTTCCCCGGCACCTACGACCCCAACCTCCACTTTTCAACCCCTACAAAAATCAATCTAAAAATAAACAGGAGCCTCTGAAGCGTCAAAAACCAAAGTTTAAGCGACTTAGTTTTATTCATATTTTTACCCCTATCTGGGCCGTCACTGGGCCGATTTGTTTAAAGTGCAAAGCTCTTCCGACCTCGGCATAGTAGAAACCTTGTGTGGAAGTTTCATCCAAATTCGAGTAATACTTTACAAATTATAAGCGGTCCAATGATGAAACTGTTCGCAATTACAATACTTCCTCGCCAGTAGGCGTAGGAAGTAAAGCAAAATATCCAGGAGGATGTCAAAACCAAGTTATTTTAGTTTGAAAAAAATTATGAGTTAAATCATGTATCTCTGCAGATACAGACAATGTGGTGCCTTCATTTTCTTCGGATGCTTGGGATAAATCAACAGGTGTTAAAAAATGCCTTTAATCAACATTGCCAACTTTTCGTCGTATATTTGACACCTTCCTCTGGGCTACTGGATGAGATATATAAAACACGTCCCAAGGGAAACAAAAATTCCTTAGATCAACTGCTGAAACAAAGAGTAGACCTAAGTGATGTTTCTTGCCGTTTGGACGTGTTTTGTGTGTCTTATTCAATAGCTCTGAGGAAGGCGTAAAATAAACGCCAAAAAGTTGTCAATTTGATTAAAGGCACCTTATCCCAAAAGTCCGTAGAAATTGAAAGCAGATAACAAGCACAGGGAAAAGAAGTTATTTCTTGTTATACACAAAATATCAGTAACTATTGATAACAGACTATATTCTACCATTCAACAAGACTTCTTTCATTATAGGTATCTGTCAATTCTTATCTTTATTTTATTTAATTTTTTTTTGTTTAATAAAAAATGCATCACAGGTATTAGACTTGCCATTCTACTCTCCCAACGGCCAGATTGGCTTAACAAATAGCGCCTCAGCTATTTTTTAATACACTTTGGTACAGGAAATAGATCTCAGAAACCATAATAAGTCAAAAGGAATGATCCTGAACTGAAGCTAAGCGTTCAAATAAAACGAGATTCGCTGAAAACACCTTCTATTATATTTTTCATTTTCACAGCGGTATACTTGCATCTAAGCTAAGAAGAAAAGATGGCAGTGTATTACAAACATATATCTATTACAATGCGTTTGATAATAATTATCTGTCAAAACGATTATTAATTTTACCGAATTCATGGTTCTAGCATTTTTGCTCCTAAGCGTATTACAGCCCTAAACACGAATTATACAGAATGCTACCACGAGGATTGCAAGTCGTACAGTACAGTACAACTGGCGATACTTACCCATCAGCGGAGCCATTTTCATTTGTACTCCCTACAATATGGTCGAGCTGGTTGATACTCGTAGTAAGATACTCTATAAATCTCATACCTCGGATTAAAAGTAAAACAGTTGATACTTATTTGACTATAAACTGTATAACAAAACATACACAGAATGATGAAAATATAAAGACGCTTATGATAATATGTATATTTTTAGCTAAGTACTTATTGACCTCCATGTATTGACAAAGATAAATACTAATACTTTATATGTTGTGTTACAATTTCAAGTACACGCAGTGATTCTAAAACAATCCAACAATATCTATTTTTGTAGATCACAAGGCGCTAACAGTACTTCCTACAGAGCAACAAATTAGATAATGATTTATATAACTGGTGAAACACATTCCATCATTTATCATGAAGCGAAGGATACAATATCAATACTATGGAGACTTAAAGATATCCTCCTAACATTAATGGAAAGCCCAATTCGTAACATTTACAAAACCAACGTGAGGTAACCCAACGTGCGACGAATAACAGTTCCGGCATTAACAAAATTGACCATCCTCATTGCTGTGGTGCAGTTCCTAATAGATACTTATCTCCTACACACCTGGTGACCAGCTTGCCTTTTAACTCGATACATATCGTGCGAGATATGTAACACAATTAACATGCCAAGGAGATAATACGAAGGTGGTCTGATAAGTTTCCAACCTACCAAGGATACAAGACATGTTTTCTGTTTTTTTTATTTTTCAACATAGTCTCCTTGTAACTCTATACACTTCTCCTAGCGATGATCCCATATCTGTTGCGTCTTCATTTGACGAAAATCTCCGAGCGCAATTTTTAGATGAGGAAACAAAAAAAAAATCGCCTGGGGCTAGATCTGGTGAGTAAGGCGGATGGTCAAGCAGTTTAAACCGTAATTCGGGGATGTTCGCCATGGCAACAGCTAAGGTGTGAGACGGTGATGGTGGTGAAACAGAATCTTATTTTTTTGCAAATGCGGCCGTTTTTCCGTAGTATGCTCCTATAATGGTTTTTCCTTTTTGAAGATAATCAATAACAATAACTCTATGACAATCCCAAAAAAAACAGTCGCCATCACTTTCCCAGGCGAAAAAACAGTTTTGCTTTTTTTGGAGCCTATTCCCCCTTTGCAGTCCACCGTTTAGAATGTATTTTTGTTTCGGGCGTATAATGGTGTATCCAAGTTTCATCTACAGTAATAAATTGGCGCCATAACTTGGATTTGTTGCGCCTAATTTGCGCCAACAGAACGTTGGAAATGTTAATTCTAACCCGTTTTTAGTCTAACGTGAGCAAGCCTGGCACTCAACGCGCGGACAGCTTTCTCATGCCTAAGTGTTGATTTACGTGGCAAAAACGTTCTTTGGCATGTTCATAACCTCTGCTATGTCTCTCACTGTAATTCGGCGTTCGTCTAGCACCATTTGGAGAACTTTGGCGAATTTTCGACGGTAATTTCAGTTTTTGGACGTCCAGCGTCTCCCAAACTCTTACGACCACGTTTAAATTCAGCTGCCCAAAATTTCACTGCGGTAAATGATGGTGTAGAGTCTCCATACACAGAATCTAACTTATCTTTGATTTGTGTAGGCTTATTGCCTTGCAAATACAAATATTTAATGACAGCTCGATACTCGATTTTGTCCATTTTCACAAAAACACTCACATCAACTCACTCAAAAGTCTGTTACATAACAACTGCGTGTTCAAAATGGCTGAAACTTTGGTCAGTAACTGTCAATAGATGAACAACGAAATTCACCAGCTTTTACTCACCTGTGCTGCCATATTCACGTCGAGATCGGAAACTATTCATACCACCCTCGTACATGCACCCAAAGTAGTGAGGAAGGGAGAATTCAACATCAGCTACCTGCAACTTTCTCCAAGGCCACGTTTAGCCTGGTTTTACTTTGTCGCTATATAAATAAATAACTCAGCAAAATTAACTTTAAATTTGGGTACTGCACAGCAGCGTCTAGCTGAAATATTCAAGGTGACAAAACTTCAGTTAAAAAAATCTCAATGTAGCTACAATTATCTAAATACAACTTGATATTTACACTATTTTTCTTAGACTGGTATTAATATATTTGTAGTTGAAGCATAACTAGAAGGCCTTCTTGAAAAAAGTATATTTTCTGAAAGCACAGTACTTGGTTCCAATTGCTATACATTTTTGAATACTTAGTATCACAGAAGTGTCGTAGAATTTGCAAAAAAGTAACAGTTATACTAAGAATCGAGCCTTAAAGTTCCTAAAAATTAGATTTTTCGTCTTGCATTGATTTGTATACTGTACTTTGATTCTCAAAAATTGATATTTGCAGGCACAAGTTCAAAATATACATTTAGATGAGCAAATTCACGTTGCACATTCAAAGCCTAAATCAGTCTTGAACTCAAAGTATTTTGACAAGTATGACATCTTATGAAAAATCAGACAAGAACTCATCAGATCGCAATCAGCAAACTACTTACTTGATCTGGGCAGAATCTACATAAGTCACTAATAT